GAAAACTTCACCACTGTCTCGCACATGGTCTCACATACCTCTGTGTAGGGACCATTGGCCGTGTGCACGTCCTCCACCAAGGTGCCAGCTCCATGTACACCATCTGCGCTTCCCTGTGTGACCGCGACCTCGTCCTCGCCCATATGCGACATCACCACCAACCACACACCATCAAAAAGCCCATGCCAAGGTACTTCAATTTCAATCAAACATTGACAAATCTACATACCGAATCTCACTTGTACATGGCCACAGGACCCCCCTACCATCGCGACTTAAGAAATGGCATCACAGCCTGCTTTACACCGCGCAACACACCAATCTAGATCTTCAGCGAGGATGAACAAAACTAGTTTCTTCTCCATTTCCCGTTGTGACGCAGTGTTGCGCCATCAGTCTACAAAAATCCGATTCAGTGGCCAATGGCGCTACTGGCGGAAGCCGCCTTAATAAAATAAAAAAGAAAGAAAGTGCGCCGTGTTGTGCGTTCTGGGAAGGTGTGTGTGTGTGTGGGCTTTGTACAACAGGTGTGGTGCATGGATGCGTGCGTGTGCGGCGCGTGCTCCTCCTTCTTCAGTAGTCGAGACCCAACAGTCCGCCGCCCGGGCCTTCGCCATCGCTCTCGGAATCGGCGCCGCCGCCGTTCTCGACCTTGACGCCACGGGAGGCCGCCGGCACGGATGGAGAGGGTGGTGGCTCCACCTTGACCTTCTTCACCACCGCTCCGGCCTTGGGCTTGACCACGAGTGGGACGAAGGGGAAGGGCGCCTTTCGCTTCTTCTTGGCGTCCTCGGCCTGCGCGAGCGGTGCTGCCGTGGGTCGAAGCGTGGGAGCCAGAGGGGCCACTACGGCGGGGTCGAGAGGCTTGCTGCTGCTGCTGAAGGGGTCGGCATCGTCGTCCCCGTCATCGTCGAGTCGCTTGACGTGCTCGCTGCGAAAGAGGGTCTGCACGAGGTGTTCCTCCTCGTCGAGCTCCCTCTGCCGATCCTCCTTGGCGCGCTCCTCGATCAGCTTGTCCAGGTCGAGCTTGGCGTTGCGCGTGTTCAAGCTCTTGATGTCGGCCAAGGCGTCGAGGATGTCGAGCTCCACCTTGGAATCGGTCGTTTTGTTCTCCAGCTGCTTCATCACGTCGCCCTCCTCCTCGAGCTTGCGCTTCTCCTTCTGCTCCTCGATCTGGCTCTCGGTGTTGCGCCAGGGTTCGAAGTTTCGAGAGACGTTGAGCTCGGCGATGTAGTCAGCCCTCTCTGGATCCGTCTTAATCGTAAATTCGCCCTTGCATCGCGTGCATTTCATGTAGAAGCGGAAGATCTTGATGCCCAGGTACTCCTCCCCCGCCACTGTCTCCTTCTTGGCGTTGAACTTCTTGCCTCGATAGAGGTACTCTCCGCACACGAGGCAGCGGACGCTCATCGGCATCATCATTCGCACCGTCTGCTGATCATTCTTCGGTTTCTTGCCTCGCGGGATCAACGAGGGATCGAAATCCGGTGGATAGTATTTGTTGATCACCTTACGTTCTCCCATCCTCTGGCACGCCTTCTCTCTGCCAAGCTTCGCAGTTGATCTGAATGATTTTGATCTTTCTCTCGTCCGAGGAAATAGGCAGAGAAATGGCGAATATCTGAAATATCTCAGAATTCATTTTCTGGGCTAATTTCTTGTTGGCAGATCTTCTGTTGTTGGCCGGAACGCGTAGCGTGACGAAAGAATGGCGGACGATGGGGACCTGCACAAGCTGCATGGCCTGCTGGAGGCCATGCTCGGCGAGCAGGTGCACCTGGGCCAGTCTCTTGATCGGCATCTCCAGAATGCCCAAGAGGGCAGATTGGAGGAAAATGGACACCTGTCTGAAGATGAAAAAATGCAATCGATTCTTCGTCATCTGCAAGGCGTGGAGACAGAGGGCAGCAAGCTCAAGCACGACCTGCAGATCTTGACGGCTAGCCAGCACGGCCATCATCTCACGGAGGCATACGATGAACAACTGGAACGGTTGAAGGAAGACGTCAGCCGCATGGCCCACACACAGCAAGAAACGGAAACCCACCTCACGGAGCTAGGCCACGTACTCTCGGCCTGCTTGGCCGGTCTCGAGCAGCGCTCCCCCGCTCCCACCGTGCCGGCAGTTGGCCCACGTACCGTACCCTTCATTTTATTCATTTTTTGCAGCTTCTTGCCTTCTATTTATTTACGCGTTTTTTTAAATTATTTTTCCTCATTGATGAACAGGAGAGGCAGAGCTTGCTGCCGAAGTGGAGGCAACGCACAAGGCGCTGCAGGAGGAGCGCGCTCGGAACGCCGAGCTCACCCAAACGATCGCTTCGCTCCAGCAGGCCACCGAAGAAGGTATCCGCTCCCGTGGTGTATGCCTGCAAGCGGCGCACGAGATTTGACGCCGACCATGGTGCGCCGTTACAGGGAAGCAAACAAAGTCAACGCTGGAGAAAGCCTTGGCCGATTGTGCCGACGAAGCTAAGCGCGCCATCACCGCTCGGCTCAAACTGCAAGCCGAACTCGACGAAGCCGAGCGTGCCCTGAAGAAGGTTCGTGCTACACACACACGCGTTTGTGGGGCGGCCTTGCTTAAGTCACGCGCGTGATGTCCTCCAGGAGCGAAAACTGGCGACCAAGGCGAAGAAGCGGCACGATGAGGAGAACAAGAAGAACATGGCTACGTTCAAGGAGCTCCGAAAGGAGCAGTTCGGTCAGCTCGCCGCGCTCGAGGGCCAGATCGAAGGGCTCCAGCAGGAGCTGGCCGGCGAGAGGGCCCGGTCGCAGGGCGTACAGGAGCAGGTGGGCGAAGCACGGCTCGCGTACGAGCAGAAGGAGCGCGAACTCCAGGAGATGCTGCGAATTGCGCGCGAGGAGGCGTCGGCCCTGGAGAGCGCGGCGGCCCGAGCGGGCACGCGAGAGAGCGAGATGGCGACGCGACTTGACGAGCTGGAGGCGCAGCTGGCGCGTCGATCGGAGGAGGAGGCGGTGGTGATTCCAAGCGCGGCGGCCGCCCAGCGGAGCGACGAGGATCGAGAGGCGCGCCTTCGCGAGCGAGAAGAAGAAATGCGAACAGCGACGGAGGAGTGGGAGCGAGAGCGAGGGGAACGCGATGCGCGCGTCGAGGCGCTCACCGCGCAGCTCACCCGGGCGAACGGAGAGCTGGCGCAGCTCAAGGCGGCACTGGCGGAAGGCGAAGAGCGGGCAAGGCTCACCGAGGAACGGGCGGCAGTTGCAGAGCGGACCCTGGCGACGGCCACGGCAGAGTGGGCCGAGCGCCAGGGCCAGGCCGAGCGACTCTACGCCGAGCAAGGCGCCGCGTTGGCCGAGCTGGGGGCGCGACTGGCCGCCTTTGAGGAGAGGCTGCCCGAAATCGAGAGCCGGGCCGTACGCCGAGGCCGCGAAGAAGGTACCCCCAGCTCCTCCGCCATCTCCTTGTTGTGTTGAGTGTCTGATCGAATGACGTGCTTCGTTGTTTTCTGTTGCAACGCGCGTGTCAGTGCAAGGCGACCTGGATCGACTGCAGGCCGAGCACGCACTGCTCAGCTCGCAGCTGAAGCAAGCGGAGAAGGAGGCCCGAGCATACAAGGCAGAAGCAGAGGCACTGCGCAATGAGCTCGCCCAGGTCGCGCAGAAGCCCGCAGGCGCAGCGCTCGCCTCGCACCCCGGCTTTCAGACGAGGAGGAGGCTGGAGCCCGAGATGCGCGCGGCAGCCGACGTCAGCAGTCCAGCAGCCGCCTCGGCGGACCACGACACGAGAAAGGTAAGGAGGCGCAGCGAGCCCGACAAGGAGCAGGACATAACCGACCTCCTGCAGAGCGACGACGTGGTCCAGACGCGGCCCCGAACCATGCCCGCCACAACCAGCGGGCAGAGCCTGCCGGCCGCAGCGTCTGCCGATCACCGCACCGACCCTGTAGAGTATTTGAGCGAAGAACTGGTACGTCGCTTCTCATCAAAGCCTCTCTTTATTAGAGTCGAGCCGCTCACGCTTGCACCACCCACCACCCACCACGTCAGGTGCTGTATATGTTCTCGCGCTTGTCCGCACGCGACTTGCTGTCTCTGACCCGCGTCAATCGCAAGTACCGGCGGTACGTACTCTCGGATTGCGCCGGCTCTCCCGGCTTTATTGACACGCTCCGCGGACGGGTGGGCGATCTTCCCGCTGCACAGAATTGCGAGCGACGCCTCGCTGTGGCGACCCAAATGCCAGCGCCTTTGGCACTTTCAAGAGAGCGAAGGCTCCGCCTACACAGACACCGGTGCGCCTCTACCCCCACGGGTCATTTCCCGGTAAATACCGGTTGCGGCTGACGTCTGTTCCGCACATTCATTCCAGACTGGAAGGAGGTGTACGTCTACCGGCACACCCACTACAAGCAGGTCTCGTGCGTCGTCGTGGGCGACGAGAATGTCGGAAAGAAAACGCTCATCACCGCCTTCGAAGGTGCGCCCTACCGCCCCGTCATCGCGTTTGGTCGGGAGAGGCTCGGTTCGTTGCTCACGCCTCTCCCTTTGTTCCACGCGCCAGGCATGGTCACGCAAAAGGGGTGGAAGCGGGGCCAGGAGAGGGAACGCTGCACGGTGTGCGTGGAGTCGCTCTTCGGAGTGCCCACCATGTTCCACCTCACCGTACTGAAAGCAAATCGTACGGTTCCCTCCCCCTTCCATCTGCCATTGTTTTTTTAAAAAAACACCAGCGACTCACGTCACCGCCGCCACAGCGCCGGACCCCTGCTCGGATCTCATGCACCATTTAGCAGACCACCTCACGCGCACGAAGGTCGACGTCTTCCTTCTGTGCGTTCCGGCCAGTGGCAGCGTCGAAGCCACCAAGTCCCGGTACACGACACGACCAACCAACGACACGACACACCGCACAACCGCACACGCTAACCGAACGCTATGATGTTCAGGCTCGATGCGCTGGAGAGTAAGGTGTTGCCCGCACTGGACGCCCTGTGTCCAGATGTCCCGCGCATCCTGGTGGGCACCGAGACCGATATCAAGGAGGAGCACTACGACCACAGCCACCCCACGGCGATCCCCATGTCCTTCTCCAACTTTGTCGAGAGGCACCACTGCCACGCCGCTGTCCTCACCTCCGCCATGAGCAATCGGTACGGACCCCGTACGCATCTGTGCCCCCAATCGTCTTCGTGATCGGTTCTCCTCCTGACACTCGCGCCGTGCTTGCAACTTTGTTTTGAAACAGGAACCTCGTGGAGTTGTTCGACATGGCGCAGAGCTTGGTGGCCACCCCGAACCTCAGGCTCAAGGTGTCGCACGACCAGGTCGTGGTCATGAACCAAACCATCCGCAGCAAGGTGCCACCCCCCACCCGCCGCCTCGTCAGTCCCTTGGCTTACCCTCACGTCATTCCCTCCCCGAAAAAAGCTGCAGGAGAGGAAGCCGCCACGGAGCACGGCGCTCGGACCCAGGGCGTCGACCCAGTACGGCCACCCCGACGCGGTGGCCCCGCTGCCCACGCCCCTCCAGACGTCGCCGTCGTCGCCCAGGCGGCAGGGCGGCGCGCCCGCAAGGGGTGCTGCCTCGCCCTACGTCGCTCCGGCCACGGCCACGCCCTCGCCGTCCACGCCCTACGGCGGCCGGGGAGGACCGAGCGCCACGCCCTACACGCCCTACGGCGCCTCGTCGTCGTCCCTCTTCACACCGTCGCCGTCGACGCCGGCCGACGGCCCGCCGCTGTCGCCCTACCTCTACAACCATCCCGTCTCGCAATCGACCCCGCTCCCCACCACTGGTGCGGGCTCGCCCCTGGCGTCGGCGGCGTCGACGGGAACCACCACGCCCGGGAGCACGACGCGTAATTGGCGGCGCTTGCGGTCCTCCGCCTCCGACACGCCTCGCTCCCAACGCGACAACAAGTGCGCCCTCCAGTGATGGTCGTCACCCGCGACAAAAACCACGTCCAGCCCCCTTCCCTTCTTCCACACACACATACACATACACACACATGAAGAGCTCTAATGAAGCAGTGGCTGGTCGTGTCGTTGCGATTATTTATTCAGTTAGAAAATCATTTGTTGGTGGTGTGGTTGTGATGTTGTTCTGTACAGCTGGCTCTGGCTCCCCGCGGTTACGGTTGGTTGGTTAGGGAGCGGGCGAGGGAGGGGGCGGCGGCGGCGGCAGGTGGCTCGGGGCCGGGAGCCCATCCTTCGCATCGGGCACGGGCGCCGCGGGGCGGCCTCGCGAGTCGGCACCGCCCGGCACGGGAGGAGGCGCCCGCAGAGATGGGGCCTCATCATCGCGGTCGCGGTCGCTCGCTTCGTCGCTGTCGAGGTCATCCCAGGGGCCGTCGGTCGAGGGCGGCGGAGGGGCCGAAGCCTCGAGCGAGACGACCCGCGCGTTCTCGCCGCTGTCGAGCTTGACGCGCGCCCGCGGGTCGGGGCACATGGCCAGGTGGGCGCTGATGAAGTGGTCGGTCGTGCGCCGGAAGGTCTCCAGGTGCGGCCCGCTGATCTCAACGTCGCCGCTCTCCCTCTCCCCCTTCTTCGTCTTCTTCGTCTTCTTCGTCGTCGCGATCTTCTCCATCTCGTGCCGGTGCTGGGTCGCCTGGCGAGCCTTGAGGTGGGCCAGGTCGGCCTCGACCCGCCTCTGCAGCTCCTCGCTGCCCACCTCAGGCCGCCGCGGCCACGGGGCGGGGTTGAGCCACGCCGGGGTGCCCAGGCACCCGATCCGGGCGAAGCCGCACGAGAAGATGGACTCGCCTTGGCTCGCCTCTCGCCCGCGGTGATGGGCGTCTTGGTCGTCGTCGTCGTCGTCAATGGACCGCGTGGGCGCCATGCAATTGCCCAGCGAGCACGAGACGAGACACGGCCGCTTCATCTTCGTGGCCGAGGGCGGCTTGCGCGCCATCTTGCCCTTGATGGGCTCGTCAAGGCCGCGACTGCGCTCCCACTCGGCGCTGCCTCGGTCGTCGTCGTCGTTGTGTTCGACACGGCCGCTGGTAGCCGGCTGCTGTCGGCCGAAGCAGCCGCCCGCGCCAAAGGAGACGAAGCAGAGATCGCCCTCGTAGTGCGCGGCCTCGTCGTGTATCCTTCTCTCGATCCCCTGCGCGTTGCCCATCGTGGCGGTTGCGGCGGACGAACTGGTGTTGTGGAGGAGAAGAAAGATGCAAGTAGCCAGCCGATGTGGCGCAGTCTCTTCTGTCAACGTTGTGCAAAAGGACCGGAGGGGTGTTTGCTCGAGGAGGAGGTGTGGGTTGTGAGTCTCTTTGTCTTGGGCGCCCAGTTCTTGGGCTTTGGTCTTGGTGTCTGTGGTCATGTCACCCCAAACTGACCAAGCGAGCAACGAATGGGGAGCGGAGGGGAGATTCAGAACACCCCGCGTCTCCTCCCTTGGCCGGCGTCAAGCCCATCACGGAGACGGTGCCTCTTGGGAAGTACCAAGTTCGGAGTTATAATAAGAAAATCCAACCAGGTCGTTTATTGCGTTCAGTTGGGCGAAGCAGCCAAGAAATCGGAGGGCCAGGCGATAGGGGCGTCGTAGCTTAGTTGGAAGAGCGTGCTAATGCCACCAAGAGCGCAAGCCATGGATGCAAGCAGGCCCCGGTTCGATTCCGGGCGACGCCATAGCCTAACATACCTTTTTGGGCGAGGCTATCGTGCTTGTGTACATCGTACTTCCCCAAAAGAATGAGTGTGGTGGAAAGGAGATTATTGAGTGTTTTGGTGTGTCACATCAGCGAAGCCACTCGGTGAGGGCGACGGCCCACTTCTCTCGGACGTCGGGTGTCTTAGACTTCTCGCCCAGGTAGACCTCGAAGAACGCTCGGCTCAGCGCCGGCGAGTCCACCACGCCCACCTCCTTCCCGTCCACAGACACTGCGCAGGGGCAAACGGTTTCCATCAGCTTGACCGCAGACTCACTCACACACATCACTCACAAGAGAAGATGAGGAGGAGGAGGAGGAGGAGAAGAAGAGGCTGTGAGGTGGTGTGCGTACCACTGAGGCTGCCCCCCTTCTTCCAGGTGAAGTCGATCAGCATTCCCTTCTTGAGCTGGGCCGGGAAGAAGTTGCCAAACTCCTTCAGGGCCTCTTCCTTGTTGTCCTGCATCCGCGCGGCCACGGCCGACACCAGCCCGTTGCGCAGGTGGGACCCCGAGGTGTCGCCCGTAGGGATCAGTCGAATGGTCTTCGTGAACGGTCCGTCCCGCAGAGCGTCGTACACGGCCTGGTTCTTCTTCAGGTCCTCAGCCGAGTGCTCCTGCCCAACCATACACGCACGCACGCGCCATTCGATGATCAGCCATCGCACAAGGGAAGGAGCGAGGGAAGGATGAGGGGTGGCATGCCCAACCTTGAAGCTGGACAAGGCGCTTCGCACGTCCTTCGGGTCGGCGTAGAGGGCGATGGCGTAGGTGGTGAAGAAGACGTACATCGTCCTGATGCCCACGGCCAGCACTTGGCCTGACACACCGCGGGGGGGGGGGAGTGAAGGGTGAGGCCAGGTGGTAGCTCGTCGCAGCCGTGCCACGGGAAGAACGCACCTTCGGTGGAGTCGTCCAGACGAAGCGTCTTGGGGAAAAGGAAGCCGGAGCGCTCTTCCTTCACTGAGTCCGCGGGCACGTCTCCGGCGGCCGCGGTGGCAGCGAGCACGGTGGCGAGAGGCGAGAGGGGGCTCTCGTCCGCGCTACGGCACGAAGACGCGAGGGCCGCAAGGGCCACGCCACTGGCCAGGCCCCAGCCCCACGAGGTGGTGCTCCGCACAACGGGAGATCTCTGGAGAACAGGGAGGGCGTAAGTCCTGGTGGCAGCTGGACCAGCAGCATGCCCAGAAAGGAATGGAAGAATCGTGCGCACCAGTTGGTTGCTCAAGCATCTTTGCGCTGATCCGACGGGCCGATTTGCGACGCGTAGAGCGGCGGAGGAGGAATAGCCCAGGCTCCTTCGCCCCACGCCAGTCCCGATTGTGCAGGCCGAAGACGCGCGTCTCATTGTGCAGGATGGACAATGGAGTATTTCTCGAGATCGCGTAAGATCGGCAGAGTGTGGCTCGAGGAAAATCGAATTTCTTTTTTCTCTCCTTGTTCGCAATTTGGTAATCAGCACGTCACCTAACGGTTGTGTTAGGAATTCGGAGAACGTGAGATGTTCTGGGTTTTTTCCTTCGACGCCTGCCAACAAAACGCGTCTGGCGCTTTTTTCCCCTTTGTTGAGGTTCCACCTAACGACATCAGCTTTTTTCAACACCATCATCCTCTCGGGGCAGCTCGATCCGCAGCAGCGACTATAACTGCCAGCCAGACCAGCTCGGTCACGGATCTCTACCACTTTTAGACATTCTCGTTTTTTTCTTCTTCTCTTCTTTTTCATCCGACACAGCCAAGAAGGCCAGAGATCGCGAGCGAGAAGATGAATCCCAACACTAGAAGCGTGCTCAGTTCCTGGTTCTCCTCGGAGGAGAGACCTGCGGCTGCCACGCCAGGCCATCACCAGGAAGCACCCGACTACGTCTACGCGCCCATGCATCCTACGCTCGCCAAGAAGATGGAGAAGCGAGGAGCAGGGCGAGGCAGGGGTGCACCGTACGGCAGCAAGCCTGCGCCACGAAGTGCGGGTCCTAGCCCCATCCGCCCCAGCGCCTCATCAACATCAGGGCGCCCACCACGCGCGCTTGACGACGGAGAGGTTGCCATGGGCCGCGGCCCTCGTCGACAGCTACGAAGCTCGCACGATGGTGGCCTTAAGGACGATCATCAGCGTGGGCATCAGAACCCTGATGCTATCAAAGGTAGAAAATCCATCAATCTTTCCATTTTCCAGCCGTCAGTCGGGCCGTGTCACTCACGATCTTTTTTCACGCAACCTCTGCAGCGGGACGTAACTACAACACCGAAGCGTTTGACTACAACGGCTCGTCGGGATCTGGTGCTGATGCGCCGTCGTGGCGCGCTGCGCGATCCCTTCCCTCGTCGGCATCGTCGACGCCCAAGAAGCCGTTCCAGCCGCCCAGGCAGCGACGATCGCGATTCAAGGAGCATCTCTCGTCCGAGGAGGTCGAGCAGGGGCTCAAGGACGGCACGCTGCTGCAGGGCGTGCTGCGCGTGAACCACAAGCGCATGCGCCTCGCCTACGTCTCGGTCGAAGGATTTGACAAGGACGTCCTCATCGACGGCGTCTTCGCGCGCAACCGCGCGTTCGAGGGCGACGTTGTGGTCATTCGGCTCAACGACCCCAGCGAGTGGGAGGTGGTAAAGGACGACAAGGACGACGAAGAGGACGAAGCCGAGCCATTGGGCGACGATGACGACGAGGTCGACGACGACCTCCTCAAGCCGTCGGCCCTCGACGATTCCGTTGTGGACGTCATGACCGACACCGATGACGACGAGGTGCCCGAAAGCGACACCGTCAGCATCAAGGCCGACGCGGAGAGCTGCACCGCCACCGCCACCGCCACCGAGAAGGCCACCACCGCGGAGAGCGTGCCAGTGCGCGACGGCAAAGTGCCGGACTACGAGGAGGCTCTGGAATCGGAGGAGGCCACCTCTTCCGCAGCTCCCGCCAGAGGCTGGTGGCAGCCCAGCGCTGCGACGGCGGAAGTCGCCGTCGAGGTCGAGAGCGGCGCCACTACCACTGCTGCCGAATCCACGGTTCCGGTTGTGGTGGTCAGCAGCAGCCAGCCCACCACGCCTCGGGCGAAGGGCAAGAGGTGCTGGAAGTGCCAGGAGGTTGGCCATATCTCGCGCGACTGCACGAACCCGAAGAGCGCGGACAAGACCCCCGTCAAGAAGGAGAAGAAGGAGAAGAAGCCCGCTAAGCAGCCCGCGGAGATCAAGGAGGGTGAGGAGACGAAGCTGAGGCGCACCGCCAAGGTCGTCGCCCTCGTCAAGCCCAACCACGTCGAGGAGATGGTGGGCTACCTCAAGCCGTGCGGCCTCGCCGAGGAGGAGCTCGGCCGAGGCAACTTCTACGCCTTCTTCGTGCCGCTGGAGAAGCGTATGCCGCGCATTCTGGTGCCCGTCAAGCGTCTGTCGGCCTCGATCATCAACCACCCCAACGAGCTCACCACCAACCTCTTCGTGTGCAAGCTCACCGGCTGGCCGGCCTCGAGCGGACACCCCCGGGGCGAGCTCATCAAGAACATGGGTCCGTCGGGCGACATGGAGGTCGAGCTTCGCGTGCTGCTCCAGGACAACAACATCGACTGGGAGGACAGCTTCGCGCCCGAAGTGGTGGCCTGCCTGCCCCGCATCCCGCCGGCCCCCGCCCGCTGGGAGATCCCCGCCGAGGAGTTCATCACCAGGAAGGATCTGAGGAAGGAGCGCATCTTCACCATCGATCCGGCCACGGCCAAGGACATGGACGACGCCGTCTCCTGCAAGCGGCTGCCCGACGGCACCTACCTCGTGGGCGTGCACATCGCCGACGTTACCTACTTCGTGAAGCCCGACACGCCGCTGGACGAGGACGCCAAGATGCGCGCGACCACCGTCTACATGGTCCACCGCTCCATCCCCATGCTGCCGCGTCTCCTCTCCGACAACATGTGCTCCCTCGTGCCCGGCGAGGACCGCCTGTCGTTTTCCGTCACCTGGAAGATGGACAAGGAGGGCAACGTGCTCGAGGAGCCCTGGTTCGGCCGCACCATCATCCGCTCGTGCGTCAAGATGTCCTACGAGGCCGCGCAGGAGATGCTCGACGACCGTTTCAGCCCGCCTTCTGCGGAGCCGCCGGCTCCCGAGGCTGCGGCCAAGCCCGTGGTCAAGCGCGGTTCCGTCTTCGCCAAGGACCTCACGGCGCCGGAGCACACGGTCGAGGAAATCGTCGACGACGTCAAGGTGCTCAACGCGATGGCCGAGTCGCTCCGCAAGAAGCGCTTCGAGGACGGTTCGCTCACGCTCGACGACGCCAAGATGTACTTCTGCCTCGACGACGACAAGATGCCCATCGACGTGGGCGTGTACGTGCGCACGGCCAGCCACTTCCTCATCGAGGAGTTCATGTTGCTGGCCAACAAGAGCGTCGCCAAGCGGATCCACTCGGCCTACCCCGACCGCGCGTTGCTCCGTCGTCACCCGGCGCCCAACGACAACAAGCTCGCCGAGTTCATCTCGATGTGCAGCGCCAACTCAATCAGCTTCGACACGAGCAGCTCCAAGGGCTTCCAGCGCTCGCTCCTCGCGCTCAGCTCGCTGCCCAACCCCGACATTGCCGCCGTGGTGACGCGTCTCGCCATGAAGCCCATGTCCGTGGCCAAGTACACGTGCACCGACGAAGAGGCCGGTGAGGGCGCCTACAGGCACTACGCCCTCGCCTTCGACCACTACACCCACTTCACGTCGCCCATCCGTCGGTACGCCGATGTGATCGTCCACCGCCTGCTCGACGCCTGCCTCCAGGGCCTGCCCGCGCCGCTCGAGAAGGAGGAGCTCTCGGACATCTGCGACAACTGCAACATGAGGAAGACCAAGGCCGACAAGGCCCAGGACAAGTGCGACCTGGTGTTCCTCTGCACCCTGCTCAAGAACCACCCGCCCAAGGACCTCGAGGCGACCGTGATTACCGTCAACAGCCGCAGCTTCGAGGTCTACGTGCCCCTCTACGGCGTGGAGAAGCTCGCCCGCGCCGAGGACCTCCCCCTGGCCAAGCTTGACCACGACAAGAAGAACCAGGCCCTCTACCTCCACTGGCGCGCCGCAGCCAACGGCACTTCTTCCACCGCAGCGGAGGAGGAGGAGGAGGAGGCCGCGGCTGGCAAGAAGGTCATCGTCCAGGAGATCAAGCCCTTCACACGCCTGAGGGTGAGGCTCTACCCGGACCTCCAGAGGCGCCCCATCGACGTGCGGCTCGCCATTGTCCCGCCCGAGGGAGCCGCCGTGCCCGACAACTACTACGACGCGCCCGTCCAAGAGTCGGCCAAGCCCAAGACCCCGGCGAAGCAGCACGGCCGCAGGCAGCAGAACCACCAGAAGCCGCCTCGCCCCGACCACCTCGAGTCTGCTGCGGATAACCACGACAACCACGTCGAGAACTGGGTCAACGAGGCCAGGGACGATGAGGCGATGCAGAGGCAGCAGATCACCGATCGGATCAAGCTCTTCCTTGCCGATCCGACCCAGACCAAGCTTCATCTACCCGCCGAGCTGACATCATTCGAGCGGCTCATCGCCCACGAGGTGGCCGAGGATCACGGCCTCCACCACCAATCGTCGAACTATTTCTGTTCCGAGACCGGCACCAAGGAGAGGCGCCTGACTCTCTTCAAGCAGGCGCCCCCTGCCGCCGCACGAGCCCGCTCGCGTTCCGTCCCCGGCTCTGCGCCCGGCGCCGACCCCTCGGCCGCGGGCGTCAAGACCCCGACCCGTACCGGCGCCAAGAGGGCTGCCAAGCCCAAGCTGCCTACTCGCGCAGCTCACGCTGAAGGAGGATCGGTTGATGGCGAGCCGCACGCCGACGGAACAAGGACGACCCCCAAGAAGAGGCCCGCCCGCAAGACCAAGGAAGGCGCCAAGGAGCGCGCCGCTGCGGTGGAGGCCGCGGTCGGCGAGGACGGCGCTCCCGTCGAGGTGCGCACGAAGGTGCACCGCCCTAAGAGGACGCCAAAGAAGCGCCCTGTTACGGCAACGACCGTCGCCCCCGCCGAGCAGCAGGGTCAGCAGGAGCCGCAACAACATCCGCCCCAAGAGGCAGCATAAGTTGCCTTGGGCTTTGTCGATAGTGTAACTAGACCCTCTCTGCCTTCTTCCCTTTCCTTTTTGTTCCAACTCCCTGTACGTCTTGTAGCCAAACGCACAATGGACCACGAGTGAAACACCCCCTCGCGCCCTCCCCTCACTCCTTCTTCGTGCACTTGCTGAAGTGGCTGGGGTGGCTATCGTGGCCGCTTCGATAGGCAGGTCATTGAAAGTTGGGCGAGATTTGTGTAGGGTGCCAGCCGGCAGGGTACGCGTCTTGGCAGAACCACTCACTCTTACAGTGCACACAACAGACCACAAAACGCTCGGCAAGGCACCCCGTTCAGTTTGATCTTTACCTTGATGCGAAGAATGAGCCGCTACCAGTACGTGCGCGATATAATGGCGAAGCCAGTCCTCACGACTACCCCCGACACGGCGCTCAACGTGGCGCTGGGCACCATGTTGCAGAAGCGCATCCACCGCCTGCCCGTCGTGGATTCGAGCAATCCAAACAAGGTGGTGGGCATCGTTACTGAGCGCAATCTGCGCTTGGCCGCCGACAGCCCGTTCCTCGAGGAGAGCGCGCAGGAGGTGCTGGAGCACCTGGCCAAACACAAGGTGGGTGAAATAATGCGCAGCTCCGTGACCACCGTCACTGAAGACGCCTCCATCGTCGAGGCAGCCAAGATGATGCGCGTCTCCAACGTGTACGTGCTTACCCGCCTCACCACATCACACCAAAGATCCTTACCCTCCATTCAGTGGTGGCGTGCCCGTGCTCGACAAGCAAGGCCAGTTGGTGGGGATCATTACCCGAACGGACATGATCGACCACCTCATCCGCGTTCTGGAGCCTCTGGACGAGGGACAGAGAGAATAATAATAAAAAAACTCAATCTTTCTTTTATTTTTGCAACTCCGCCCAAGACAAGATGGAAGAGCTCGGCGAGCTTGTTGGCTTTCTGGTGAACTCTAAGCCTGAGGTAGGTTCTTGTGGGCGGTGCAATGTACCTCGCCTGAGGCTCACAGGTAGGGGATCTACAATTATCAGGTTCGCCAAATTGCCCTGCAGCACTTGGTCTCCTTCACAGGTTCTTCCGATGGGAGAGAGCAACTAAAGCCCACTCCTGTGCTGCCCAACCTCTGCCGCCTCCTCGGCGATCTGCGGGTACTGATTAATTTGTCATCTCAGCATTCAATCTCGATTATCTCACAATTGTACTTTTTGATCCGACAGCCGATCGCTACGCTGGCTTACACCTGCCTGATCAATCTTTCGGAAGACAACGAATACGCCGGTATGATGCTGCAAAGGCCTCGATTCTGCGTTTCGCTTGTCCGCAATCTTACGGTGGGTGCTCTCTTCCCTTCACGCCGGTGTGTCACTTCTTGGTGGCTAATGCAAGCTTCTCGTGGGCCACCTGCAGAACGAAGAGCACCAACTGGGCGAACTGGACGTCCTCCTGCTCAATAACCTGACGCGGCTCGAGGAGGGCAGCAGACAGCTGCTGCAGGTGGGTGAATCACTGGAGGGCTTCTACCTGGAGAAGCTCGTCGAGATCCTCGTAAGCAAGAGAGGCGACGAAAGGAAGGACCCATACGCCTGGATCGCGCGAGTGCTCATGAACGTCTCCCAGCTGCCCGAGGCCAGAAAGATCCTGTTGGATGAGAAGAGGGACATCTTCAAGGACCTTCTGAAGGACATCCAGCACCGCAACCCTATCCGGAAGAGGGCTGTCCTGGGCGCCATCAAGTACCGCCAGCCTACCCTTTACCCGCCCTCACCCCTCACCACTCACTCACTCACTCCGCAACGCAATCGGCATTCAGGAACTGTTGCTTCGAGCAGAGGAAGCACGCCTGGTTGCTGGCCGAGGACAAGGTGAACATCTTGCCCTACCTCCTCTATCCTCTGGTCGGACCCGAGCCGCTCAGTGAAGACGACATCGAGGGCATGCCCGCGTTTTTGGCCAAGCTCGGCCCCAACAAGATGCGGGAGGAGGACGTGGAGAGCAGGAAGCTGCTCGTGGAGGCCTTGACCCTGCTCACGGGCACCAGGCGCGGGCGCGACTTTATGCGAGCCAAGAAAGCGGTACGCCCAAGCTACAAGCGAGCCAATATGCCTTACCATCGCAGGTGACGTAGACGCTGACTTGTTGTCGATTGTCGTGCAGTACCCGATCGTACGAGATGCGCACCGAGTGGAAGACAACGAGGCGATCGGCGAGCTCTACTTCATCCTGGTCGACCACTTGATGCGGGACGAAGAGCCGCTCCCCGCCGCGGAACCGATCGAAACGCCAAGCATGAATCAGGAAACCGAGGCCGAAAAGAAGCTCCTAGCGGATGCGCAGCACGAAGAGGAGATGCCCGAGATGGACGTGCTCGTGAGTGACTCTGAGGACGAGGACGAGGGGGAGAAGGAAAGCGTCGACTAAACCATTACATAAATAAAATAAATGTCGGCAAGTCGTGGTTTGCGCGGGCGAAAGAAGAAACGAAACGCAGGCAAACGCGAATGCTGGCAACAGATGCAGAGATTGGAGCAGCATGTCGCGGATCTGGTTCGTTCCTCGCAAGCGATTGCCTCGATATCACAAGCGGTCGAAGAACTAGTGCTCAACAGTACGCCCATATTCTTCTATGTAAATGAAGCTGCGCGATTTACCAGAATCTCCCCCATTAGGCGTTGATGCGGGGTCTACCGCGGTGGAAGTAAGCGTCGCAGTCGAAAGGCACTGCTTTGAAGTGCGAGACAATGGTACCGACGTTTTAGACTGCACTGCACCTTGCGATATGGTTTCCAAGGCCTGAGTGTTCGTAGGCCACGGCATAACACAGCACGATCTTGAACTCATTGGCGAAAGATCTGGTACTTCCTCAGCTTTGAGTGCAATGACCTTGTCTGACCAAGCGTTTCATTCTCAGCCACGTCGAAGCTGAGAACTCTCGGCGACATGGCGCGCGTCACGACATATGGCTTTCGAGGGTTCACTTCTCCTTCTTTATCTCCTTCACAAAGAGGTAGCTAAACGGCATCTGTAGGGAAGCACTGAGCAGTCTCTGCACGCTTGCTTCTGTCGAGGTTGTGACCAAGTGTTCCGACTCAGCTCTCACCTTCGTCAAGATGGTACAAAGAGGGAAAGTTGTAAGGAAGGGTCCGGCCGATGCCCACAGGACCCTCGGTACCACCGTTTCCGTTCGAGACTTCTTCTACAACATGCCGGTTCGCAGGAAGCAAATGTCGTCGGGCTACGAGCTCGAGAGGATCAAGCAGACGCTAGAACGAATTGCGCTGGTTCATCCTCAAGTGCGATTCTCCCTGTACGACACAACAAAGGGCTCCACGATACTGCATACTCGGCAGGTGCGTTCCCTTCTGTCGTACCGTAGTGAAGTTTGCGCTAACCCTGTTGGCCTTAGCTTCGTACTCTGCGGGCCAGCTTCGAGCAGCTCTTCGGATCGGTCGATGGGCTATGCGAGGTGGAGCACTGCGCTGGGCCTTACACCTTCCGTGGTTTGCTGTCGTATCCCAACCTAGGCCACCACTCCAAGGTTTCTCTTCTCCACATCCTTCTCACTCAAGGTGGTCTACCGTTTGACTCTTCATTCGTCGGTGCAGAGCCTTCAATTCCTGTGTACGTACCTGGGCGAACAACGCAGTATCCACGCCAAGCGCTGAAATCGCGCCTCCCCATAGATGTGAACAAGCGCAGCGTCAAAGCCAAAGAGTTGCGCAAGTTCATCAACGAGAGCTACCTCAGTCTTTCGCTACGGACAGTCAGCGCCCTCACTACAATCGAAGACCATCTCGATGCTGCCAACGGCTCTGCAGTCACGAGCATACAGGACGCTGATGCGAAGACGATATTCAACAAGTACGCTGTGTTCTTGTTGGACATATCCTGCCCGCCCTCAGCGTATGACGTCACGCTAGACCCCACCAAAACGCTAGTCGAGTTCAAGGTATACCGAACCTCAAAACCGTTATCACGTGCTCGCTATGACACTCTTCCTGCAGGACTGGAGCCAGGTACTACAGGGAACAGCGTCCATGCTGTGCGAGGCCTGGGCTGGAGAAAGCCTTGCTCGTGCGCCTCAACCGGACAACCAAGAGAGCGAGCACTTCTACGGCACACGCGAGGCCGCACTCATCGAGGAAACTACCGCCGACCCCGGTTCTCTCCACGCGAGCCGGAGAACAGCTCCCGACCTGAATGACTTACCTAGCGATCCATTCCCAAAGCGTCAAAAGCGAGGGGCTGACCGACCTTCGTTGGTGGCCTCAAGTACCGCCCAAGAAGTGACCACGCGCAAAGTGGATCACCAGAGTGCCAGCACTCGCATCGCTCTTCATCTGAGCTCGCACGCCCTCCAGGTACGCTACACTACACACCAAGGTACGACTCGAATGCCGGCTCACCAAGACTTGCGCAGAGGAAGCCGTTTCTAGGCAAAGCCGAAGCTTCCATCCTAAGCACGGACTGCACTCACGACCGAGGCACGCAGCTGGCCGTGAGCAAGGATGTGCTGAAGAAGATGCGTGTGATCAATCAAGTCGACACCAAGTTTATTCTGGCCAAGGAGGGCGATATGCTGTACGCATCTTCCTCCAGCCCTTTGTGCTCTCCAACGGACTCACAGCGTCCTACCACAGTTATATCCTGGACCAGCACGCGGTCGACGAGAGGATCGGTCTTGAGAAGCTCGAGTCCGAGGCTTGGGGGAGCGACGGTGAACCAGCGAATGTGAGTTCAGCGATCGCTGAGCTCGAGTTTGCAACAACCGCTCCCGAAGCCCGGCTACTAGAGCGGTACCACGAAAGGATCGATGCGTGGGGGTGGAAGTGCAGTGTTGAGATCTGGTACGAACAGTCCCACCTCGCCTTTCTTCCCCTTTGTGGCCTCACCGCAGATGGTACAGTGGTAGCCGAACCCAAGTGCTTGTGCGCGCCGTGCCTGCCGTCGACGGCGTGCCGCTCACGAATGTGGACAACCTGAGGGAATTCGTGACCCAGCTGGAGGCGACCAACGGCTCCGCTGCGACCAAGCCCCGATCCATCGTTCGTCTGCTGCAAAGCAAGGCCTGCCGCGGTACTGCTGTGCGATCGTTTGCTTTTTTCCGCTTTTCTTTTTCTCGCCCGGAAACCGAACGACATCCAATCGTCGCGGTGTGTACCAGGAGCGCTCATGTTTGGCGATCGCTTGTCGCGTGAAGACTGCCAAGCCCTCATCGACCGCGTCTCTGCCTGCGCTCTTCCCTTCCAGTGTGCGCACGGTAAAGTACCACTCACACTCACCCAGATAGCCGCCCAAGCCCATTAACCCGTCACCCAGGCCGGCCAAGTGTGGTGCCATTGCTGCACCTGACTACGCTGCCGCGGCAGAGCGAGAAGGCGCGGAAAAGAGCGAAACCGAAGAGGCTGCCCGACCACCTCCGGCGAGCCTCGCGGCCAAAATGACGTGAGAACAGCAGAGGTGTCGCCGCAGACACTGCCATTGGCTGCCGCTAATGAAACGTGAGGTTTCTGTTCGCCAGGCAGCAGCCAAACGTTTTTGCGTGGCTGCGAAAGAAGAAAACAAGCGCAAGGCGAACAGCGGCATGGGCCGAAGAGAAGGGCGGTGGGGGTGTGGCCTTCTCCTTCCTCAATCTCTTCTCCTTCTCCTGCTGCTTCTTTTATGCGGCCACGCCCACGCTACTCTCGTGGCATACTATTCCTTTGATAGTACGACCTCCTTCCAATCTTTAGATGCAAAGCCAGGCCCAGCTTCTCTTACATTCTCTCTCCTTTCTCTAGATGCAACGGTAGACTCTATCCCCGCACTATCTGGATACTGCCCGGCCAACGTGCCCGGTGCGTGTTCTCTTCGCTCTTCTTTCTTTCCCCCCCGCTTTCCGTAATTCCGCTTCTCTTTTCTCCTCTGTTCTCAAGGCATGAAAGTCAGCTTATTGTTGTCTCCCGGTTGCCCTCCCATTTATTAGTTGCGCTTGCTGGCCCTGCCTTTGCGGCAGTCAATGATTCGGGCATGTTCAACCAAGGCCTTTGCTTCCTGTCCAGCCGCGGCTACATGGGCACGTGTCTGCCAACCTCCCTTCTGGTTTGTAGCTGCAGCGCGAGCATGCAGGGCTAAGTGAGTCTCGTCCGTGTGCCGTGGGCTGTTTTCAGATACGTCATTTTTGAACACGGCGCCGGCTGGAACGGTTGGGGCGATTTCGTTGGCCGCGTGGGTCATGGTGCCCTTCCCTCGCGCGACCAACGGCACGCGTGTGCTCCTCTTCAAGAACGCGGCGCTGCAATGGCAGATAGCCACCGTGAACAACAGAACCGGGTTCTACAACAACGTACGCCTCCACCAACAGCTCAGCCTCTTCAACGCGCGTGTCCGAGGCAACCTCTCGAGGCTCACCTCCACGGCCGACTGTCTACGATCGTACGTGCGTGCAGGTGTACTGCATGATGCAGTTCTCTCTCACTGGCCAAAACCGGTTCACAACTACGACCAGGAACTTCGGACCCGACCCCTTCAACTACTGGACGCACGTGGCGTGCGTCTACAACTCGACCAACATCTGCGTCTACGTGAACGGGACCCGCCTGTCGTGCAGCGCCGCTATTTCGCGCCTGACTTTCCCCTACAATCCTGTGACCACCCTCATCGGCAACACTGCGGTCAATGGGACAGTCGGCCTGTGGGGCTGCATCGACGAGCTCAAGATCTACGACCACGCCCTGAGCGATAGCCAGCTCTATGCCCTGGCCCACCCCACCGCAGGCAATGTGCCACCGGCGGTCACCATAGGTACTGTGGCCACGACCACAGCGAGGGGAGAGGGACGCGCATGGACTAACCCCAAACTTGCTCCGTAAGGCCTCAACACGGTGCTTAGCGTGCCGCAGGCCAAGATCGACCAGAACGGAATCACCGCTCCGGCGCTCTCCTCCATCGTGTTGAACACCACGAACCTCGACACCACAGCGGCCTTCAGCGGCAGCCCGAACGTGAGCACGCTCTACTCGTGGACGATACTCAGTAGCAACTGCGGCCTCGTCGATTCCAACCAGACCACCACTGAGTCGCCGCTGCTCAGCCTGTTGGACGTCGGCAACTTCCAAGTGCGCTCTCGTCCCTCTCTCCGCATTCTTGATGTAGATCTGGCCATTACTCACCCCGACCCCTTGGGTGCGGCGCGTGCAGCTCCAGCTCTGCGCCTCGGACGGTGAGACCGCGAGTGTGTTCTACGTGCAGGCCTTTATCAACCCCAGCGTGCCCTACTTCTCCGTGACGCCTGTTACAGCTGTGACTGTCGAGCTCGGTGCGGCCGTGGAGCTCCATGTCGAAGCGGTGAGTGTGCCGGCGGCCTCCTATCAATGGCAGTACCTCACCTACGAGAACTCGACCGATACCACCAACTCGACCGAAACGACTACCTTCGCGACGATGGAGAGAAGCTTCGAGTACCTGAGCCTCGCGATGCACGACCCCAATCAGTCCTACCGGTACCTTCGCGAGGTGCCGTACGTCGAGGAGAGGGACGACCTGATCCAGGTCTGGGTGAACTTCCCCAACCAGACCAGAAGCACGTTCCTCATGAACTCGACTGACATCGCCAACGGCACGGTCGTGCGCTGCCGGATTCGCAACGGAGGCGGGGCGGCCGTCACCAGCGGGACCACAATCACCACCTTCGTGGCCCCGCCGACCCCCTCCCCAACACCGTCGCCCTCCATGTTCATCCCTCCCTCCCAGCGGTACGGCCTCGCCCCTCGTCCCCGCCTTTGCTGGGCTCTCGATGCGACTGACATCTTTCGTCGGCGAGCAGACCTTTGCCCGGCACAACAAGCTCGGATTCCGTGGGGGCGATCGTCGGCGGCGTCATAGGCGGCGTCACCGGACTGGCCGCGTTCCTGGCACTCATACTCGCCGTCCTCGCGTTCCTGTTCGCGCGCAGGCGGTTGGCCGACCGGCACAAAAAGCTCTCGCAGCCCGACTACGAGCAGCTGATCTACGGCGATGTCGCCGACGTCGCCCTCTCCAAGAAGAAGGCCGAGGTAACCTCCTCTTCTCCACTCCCTTGATTTGAGCGTCTGAAGGGGTGGGAGGGGGGAACACCATTCTCACTGGAGATGCCGATGGTCGGTTGGTCATTCCTCTGCAGGCCTACAGGGAACTCGAGCGGGTACTCCTGGCCGACGAGGGCAGGCTGGCGCACGCCATATTCGCTTCGATACGCCCCAACCAATCGGAGAAGGTGCCCCATCGAACACTTGGTGAACGCTGTGAAAGAATGAAAGAAAGAAAGCACTCACTCACTGTTGGTTTCTACGTAGATGGCCAAGGCCATCATTCGCGTGTTCGAGGCCAACCAGCAGGGCAGCGCGCTCATGATCAAGCGCATTTCCCATGAGGTCGACCTGGCGACCGAGGAGTCGACCCTCTTCCGCTCCAACAGCATCGCCGCCAAGATGTACTCGGCCTACGTGCGGATGGTGGGCCTGCGGTACCTGTGGCACACGCTCGTCCTCTCGGTGCACTCCATCAACGACCGCGCCTTTGAGGCGAGCGGCGACGCGGCCGAGGCCGGCGACCCGGAGCACTCCTCGACGGGCTCACTCACAACCGCCTCGTCGTCCAAGTCGAAGCGGCGCTCGCGCGCCCTTCACGCGCGCTATAAGCTCGACACCGACGACAACTCGGGCCACACTTCGGACGTGCTCGCGCTGTCGAGCATGGAGATCGACCCGCTGCGGATGAACCAGGAGTCCGACTCCACCATCAACACGCTCGAGCTGTGGCTCGTGGCCCAGAAGATGCTCAAGGTCATCGTCGACAGCGAGCGCGCGATCCCCGTCTCCATCCGACGCATCCTGCGGCACGTCAACGAGGAGATCGGCGCGCGCTACGGCGACCTCACCCAGTACCGGGCCATCGGCGGCTTCTACTTCCTGCGGCTCATCTGCCCGGCCCTCATGGCCCCTCAGGTCTACGGCCTCCTCGAGGAGCCCCCGCACCCGATGGCACAGCGGCAGCTGATCCTGATCGCCAAGGTCATCCAGAACCTGGCCAACGACACGATGCCCGGCGCGAAGGAGGAGTACATGGAGAAGCTGAACGCGTTCATCACGTCCAACAAGCCCACGCTCGAGCGCTTCTACAGCCGCATCCTGGACAACCCGGACAACGGGAAGGACGCCCACCCGATGCCCGTGCCCGACCACGCGCGCGACAGCGCCCTCATCACCATCCACCACTTCCTCGCCCAGCACCGGGAGACCGTGGAGCAGGCCATCCGCGAAGACCAAGAAGACAGCAGCGGCGGTGGTAGCGACGACAGCGAATCGCTCGTGGAAGAGCTCCGCAGGGCGTTGGACGCTCTCGGCGACCCGTCCGGCGACGAGGCCGTCTGATCATCGACATTACATAAATGTTGGATATTTATTTTTCTATTTATGTACACACTCACTTTTCGATGGAAATGTTTTTTATCCGGAGGGTCGACAGGTGGGTGGGGCGAAGGGGGTCATGGGGGCCTCCAGGTCGACGGCGCCGTAGGAGACGTGCTTGCGGGGCTTGTGCGACCGCAGGACGGACTGGAGCTCGTCGTTGCTGACGCCGCGGCGCACGGATCGCAGGCCGGTCAGGAGCACGCTTGGGTCTGGCCCGCTCCTGGTGGGCCGGTGCGGCGTCACCCCAGGCCCCACAGTGTCCCACACGCCGCTCGCCTTCATATTGTCGCCTCGCAGTTGGGCCGCCTTTTGGTCATCACCCTCGAGGCCTGCCCCAACAAGCAATGATGAGCAACACCACACACCACAGGGAAAAAAGCGCGGCGAGGAGTACCTGGCACGGGCAGCAAGTCCACATCTTGGCTGGGTGCGTATTGCCAGTAGAGGAGCGCGCCGGCAAAGAGCATCGAGAGCAGGACGACGCCCACGAGCAGGTGCCAGAAGGCCACCGCGGGAGGCGCCACCACCTCAATCGGCAGGCCCGACACCACCACGATGGGAATCGTCACCGCACCTGCACCCACACAGCGTGTACAGTCAGCTTACGGCATGAGAACGCCGCAGGGCTCGATCCACACAGTACCGATCACCGAGATGAGCCTTTCGATTCGCTTGGTCTTCTCGTCGCGGCGCGTCTCGGCGACCTGCTGGGCGAACTCGCGCAGCTTGGCGGTCCGCTTCTCGCTCGCGGCCTGCCGGCGCTGCTCCTCCATGTAGCCCGACTCGACGATACCCAGCACGTCCTGGATCTCGTCGCGGATCTCCTGCCGCGCCTCGGGGATGCCCAGCATCTTCCGCATCGTCGAGAAGAAGTTGGAGTACTCCGGCAGTCCGCCACAGTCATCGCTGCTCATGCCCAGCGAGTACTTGATCATCAGCATCTGCGTCGTGTGTGTGTGTGCGTGTGTGCGTGTGTGTGTGTGTGTGTGTGTGGTCGATACCGCAGACGTGTGCGGGGGCGTTACTTCATCGAAGAACGCGGCACACTTGAAGAAAAAGTGGGTGTGTACGGCGAGGTAGCGGAGCTCGGCTCGGTGGCGCTCGAGGTACTCGATGTTGTCCGTGCAGTCCAATCGCAGGTGTTCGGCGGCACTAGCTGCAGCACACATGGGCGAGATTAGATCATCATCCACACATGAGCGCGATCTACACATCCACCACCACGTGGTTGACCTTACCCGACAGATTGGAGAGCTCCGACAGCACCACAGCCTCGCCTCGCCTGTTAAGAGTAGTGGTGGACCGCGGTGAGACAATGGTTAGGCGGCGGCGGTGGGTGGGTGGGTGAAGGGGGGGTGGAGGTAGTACGCGTGGAGGGCGAGGATGAGGTAGACGCCCTGGAAGAGCTTGGGCCAGGTGACCCGCTCGAACTGGACGTTGCTGTCGTCGGTGGGCCAGCTCAGCGCCACCGAGCCCTCGCGCGATATTCCGATGTACCGGTTCTGCCGGTGCACCAGCATCTGGTCCAGTCGCGAGCCCGCCTTCTTGACCGGCGGCGGTCGATTGCGCTGCCCAAACGCTTTTTTTAAAAGATGGCGCCCAACGGGTGAGAGACACGACACTTAGTGAGCCGGCGACGATCGCCTACGATGGCGCAGGCCAATGGATTGAGCCAAGCGGTCGGGGTACGTACCTCGCGTGAGATGGAACAGATACTCCTGCAGGTCCTCCTCCGCCGGCTCCCGATCGAGCACCACCGTGGAGTGGTGGTTGGCGTGCTAAA